TTTTTAACTTTAATTGCTCGTGGAGCCTTCCCTTTTCAGCCTTCAACCTCTGAAAACAATTTTTTCCGTACGGCGGCATTTCAGGATCTACCCATTCAAATTTGTTACAAGGCGGGTCATCCGTCTGTCATAAATGAGCATAAGATGAAGGCAAAAACCAAATGTGAAATCCTCAATCACAAAACTTGTATCATTTACTATAATCAACAAAAATCACTATCATGTACTTAACTTTCGACAACGTGTTATAAAAAACATACCTTCCAACGAGGACATCTGATGAACCTTCGACCCGGGTTTTCATCCGTATTTGATGTCAACACGACGCATTCCTCGAGATGATGGCACAACCTGACCTCCATCGGCCCATTGTCGGATGATCTGTAATACCGGTTGCTTGAACTCGCGTTTGAACGCTGTGACATGGTTATTTGCTTTGAAAACTGAAAAGTATTAGGATAGCAGACATTGAATTCAACAGCCTCTTTTAAAATATGAAGTTCGGTTGTTAAAGGTTGTTCAATTCAACGGCCTCTTATCCTATCCATCCAATTAAACGACGCCTTAATTTTCATGGTTTTATTAAAGCCCATATGATCACCTTATAGAAACAAACCAATGTATTTGGCTCTCAGAGGAGGAACACAACCAGCACTCAGTCATTGATTCTTGTCTCATTAAACCCTTATTCCTATTTTAATCCCAAGATTGAAATATATATATTTCACTATTCTTACTTTTCAATGTGCCAATATCCTATGACCCCTGCATATGAAAATAGTCAGAAAGAAGGCATCTTTTGTGATGTACAGAGGGGGCAGATAGAGATCTTCTGTTATTTTCCTGTAGAGGTTCTTAATTTCATATGCTTTGCCTAATCATTATACAGTAAAGCCCATGAAAGTCATATCCAATTTACTTGTTGGGTAATAATAAAGTCTTCTCGTCATAAGTTAAATATTTTTGAAAATTCAGAACTATGCTATTATCATTCAACGCATAAATGGAACACCAGTTTCCTGAACCCAAATTGTGTGCTGTGCATTTGTACATATGGGACTAAATAGCTGAAGAGATATGGTGATAGTTACTTCACTGATTTTTTCCCTTATTTTCAGATGTAAGGACAACACACATAGATTTCCTTTTTAAAACCTAGACAACACACATAGATTGTCTCCCATATTTTCACTTCAGTAGTAATAAAGATTCAATCACAAGGACAAAAAAATATTTAACCTAACATGCAGGTGAGGTTGCTAGGGCAATTGTTCGATTTTTATTTCTTGACAGCTACATATATAGACAACCATTTTAAGATGCATAGGCAACTATGTAAAAAACTAATCAAGTATTTTTATAGTCGACTTTGAATGGACACATAGGAAATGAACATAGATGAACCACAACGGGAATTCGCATCAGATCAATTTTTATTGTCAAGCTCAAACACTGGATCTGATGGGATTGCGCAACTCCGGTCATAGCACAGGGATTTTTAAATTTCACGAAAAAGAGGCAAAAAATCAAAAGTCACAGCCAAGTAATTTCTCGATTGCTGAAAAATGGTCGTACCTCTCAATGCACTGCCGTCGGGGTATATTCTCGTAGCTCTCAGAGGGACGTCGTGGATGGTCGTCTTCAAGGAGTCGCGTAATATTCGGGAGTGAAGTTATCCTCTCGTCATCGCGCACAATTAGGGCACCACGCCGTTGGATGTAAGCTGTGTGGTCGGGGTGCGAAGGATGAACTCGTTTAGGGACAGAAAGGAGGAAAAGCGGGTTCTCGTCGGGAGTGAGGAGGCGATCTCGTCGGAAAGCAGATTAGGGCAGAATTGAGATATGTAGGTTCGAATGATTTTGATCGGGGAAGAAGGCCGAGTTCGATTTTATTGAATAAGGGCAATGTAGTCCATCCCTCTTTTTTTATTTTGCTACCATCTCAGCTAATCCATGAAAGTAAATGAAGGATTCATTAATGCAAAGTCCATCCCGAAATGTAAACAAAGGACTAATGCTGACGTGGAAAGTAGTCGGGATTATTTTGTCTAATCCCATCCTGCAAAGTAAACGACGCCAGAAAGAATACTCCCAATTTTCATGTTCGAGCAAAACGACGAGGAAGCATTTTTACGGCATCAAGAGGTTCCAATTGCTCAACTCTAACTGTGGCTGCCGTAATTTTCGAGCCTAAGATCAATAATCTAACCACTTCGATCCCGCTTGATGTCGGAATGATGCATCTTGGCAGCGGTTTATGCCGTAGGAGGGGACTCTTTTGATTCATCTGGAGGTGAGAAAAATTGATGCCCATATTCAGTGCTTTCTTTTACTTGTTATTAATGTTTTTCTATGATTTTTTTTTCTATTTTTTTTGCCGTAATTAAAAAAGAAAATAGAGTAGAGCATGTCTCTTCTTGATTTTGGAACATATGGTGATCAACTTGATGTAAATTTAGATGAAATTTTTTCAAGTTTAATTGATCTATTGCACTTTTTTTTTTTAACAAATTTGATTGAAATAATTTTTTTCGTTCATTTATTTAGCATATGAGTTTTTATTCTTAACAAAATTTATTTTTGTTAATCGCATTTTCCCTTGTACTTGTACATCTCTGTTGGAGATGAGACCATTGCAGCAGTCCTCACTAGAGAAGAAGGTACTGAACACAGTGTGTGAGGATGCTTTTGAGCAAAGGACTTTGTTGGTGTACTATAATTTCCATATACCTTGTAATATTATATGTATGATGATGATAATTTTCTTCACGGAAATAGAAACTATCATGTTATTAACACCATACCCATATCGATTTATCTTGTTTTCTGTCTCTTCATTGTTTTTTTTTTTNCTCTTTATTTTCTTTTTGCATAATTTGGCAAAACCTTGATGTGGTGTTGTAGTTATTTTTTTAAGTTGTAATATACGTTTCTTTTAGTCAGTAACTCCAGATTCTCTTTCGCACATGTTTACATCTTTCATCCACAATGTTTAGTTTTTCTCTGTTGTTTGTGGTTTTCAGGTATAGTAAGTGTGGCTTTTCTACTGGGAATGCTAGGCTTTATCTGGATGCTTTTTCCAATGTCCAGTCCACATTTATATAATGATAGAGAAGATGATTGCAAGTGTTGGCATAGATACTGTAAGTGGAGCTAATTAGTACGCATTGCACATAGTTTTAAAGTTGCATATACCTTAGAAGTTCATTGTTCGGGTTGATCTTTTCATTAAGCTTTTTGCTTTGCATCGAAAATGTTGTCCTTGTGTGGAGCAGTAGAAACATGTATTATTTTTTGGGGTGTTCTCATACTGACTTGGAGAAATGTTGAGTCGAGAAAACTTTCCTTCGTTGCATTGCCTGCTTTTGTTACTGAATGCTCTTCTCAAGTTCTCTTTTCTTCATCCTGTTTTTGACTTTTTTCTTTTAAAAGTCAAATATTAAAAAAAAATCATTAATTATGAAAATTTTTAACATTTGTAACTGGTAAACTTAATCACACAATGATTACTATATTTTGGTTATCACTGCATTGATTATGTCTTGACTTACTTAATTGGCAATCCTAATAAAATTATGTAAGTGGATTAAAATATCTAATGCATTAGAAAAATCAACTACAAAGAAAGTGGGAGATATTTTGTATAATAGGTTATGCAGTATAGCATAGCCGGTGTTGATCATAATCAAATGATAAAAACTTAAGCTCTTATCTATTGATGAACTTAATATTACATATTTTCCTTTTATTGTTTTTTTCCTAATATTTTTTTTTTTGTTTTTTGTCCTTTAGTCTGTATTACCTATCACATGATGTCGGAAATGAAGCACGTGAACATCATGGACGGTTTTTTATGCCGCCTCCAACTCTCTTCTAAGCGATAATGATTTCAAGTTGGAATCCCCTTATTGAACACTTATTATGAATTTTCTTATGAAAGTATGTCATTTTTTGTTATATTCAGAAATTTATCATTCTTACTCTATGCAAATTTGATTTGTCTAGGTTATTTGATCCAACCATAAAGGAGATTATCAATGTTCTGACAACAGTGAAAAAAGGTTTTTGATCGTTCATTTCTAAAATTTTGTTACTTTTCTTTTATTATTATTTTTTATCATTTATATGTTCAATTGTTTGCCACATGTTCTTTGAATAAAGAATTAGATTTTGCTTAATCTCATTAAATTTAGGTTCTAAGATTGTTTAGTCGTGTATTACATAAAGCTTCATTCCTTCAGCAAATTAAACTAATTGATAAATTGTACTTCTATTTTATTTTGGATTGTACTTGGTACATATTCATGAAATTGTATATTCCCCATCTAAGAGTATTCATTTTACTTCTACTTGTAAAATTTATTTCTTCTTATATAAGTTTGGTGCTTATATCACTCATATATAATTATTATTTTAAGTATATTAATCTTCCACAATCCACATAATTTTAATTCTTTTTGTAAACGTTTTCTCACATGACTTAAAAATGTTTTGTTAAAAATTTTCTTGTTTTTCATTCATGTGCTTATGTTCTTCCAGGTATGTACCCTTTTCGAATGTAACTTGAAGGGGAGTGACAACTTTGAAGATCTAAAACTGGCCGACTTACAGTTTGGGACACAAAGGCATCACAAATATATATTTCATTTGTTTTTTAGTGTATTATTTTCCTCCTAGTACAATATGAATATAAGGAAGATGTAATTACAAACCAACACAATGCAAGAATGACGACACGACAGAACTTGTCCAATGCTTTACTTGAGAATTGTAAGATTATATTTATTGAAGTTCAAATATATGAAACAATATATACCGCAAACCAACTTCATACCAATTTAATTGAACATACTTGATCTCATTTTGCTAACAATTAAAAAAAAAGATTTTATAAGCAATGTTTTTTAAGTATAATCTTGATTTAGTTTTTTTTCCCTTTTTAATGATCATCGCACATACAAACTAGGATAGAGAATGGTCAGCAACTTTCATCCACAATGCAAAAACGTACAACTAAAAAGGTTAANNNTACCTGCAAACGCAATTCCACCATAACTTCTCTTACCTACCTTGATACCTAATCTGGAACACAAATCAACCTTGATTTTTCTATTTTCCTTTGCTTCTTTAATAACTTCGCATAAGGTGATAGCTTGATCCATGCCTCCTAGGGTTCTATTGGGTTTACAATCTTTGCACAATTTTTATTCCATTGTTATTTTTGGCCATTGCATGTTGTAATTGGAAGAGCTCTAGTTATTTTCTGGGTAAAATGGCAACGGCTTTTGATAGATGGGAGAAGGACCCGTTTTTCTCTGTTGCAGAGGAAGTTCAGGAATCTGCCGACAGGTGCTATTCAATGAATCTAACTTTTTTTTCTGGCAAACATTTTAAGGAATTCTGTGAGGATGAAGATAGTTTTTCCCCTTTAGCCTATAGTTGTTACTCTGGCTATCTTTTTATTCGTATTATTGATGCAATTTTACTATTTTATTCTGAAGGATGGAATCAACTTATAGAACATGGCTTGCTGCATTGAAGAATACCAATGGTGTTTGGAATGTCGATGAGCTAGGAAGGGATCTCCGAACGGTCCTTGGCACAACAAAGTGGCAGGTTGTTTATTGCCTATATCATAGTTATGCCTGAACATTATCATTATAATGGGTAAAAAACTTCAAACTCCCCATGTTTTCGGCTTTATGCAAATTTGCCATGCTAACTACTTTTNTTTCTAACTTGCCCTGCTACCATTTCTAAGGTGGATTTGTTTAACACATCTGGTTTTTATTTTTTATTTTTTATTATTTTTTTAAATATCAGGGGTTAAATGAAACATTATGAAATTTAATTTGGGAATTGGAACAAACCGAGCAATATGAAAATTTAACGCACGACAAATTTTATTTAAATTCTCGAAGGGGGATCCTTATTCTCGTTTTGTTATAATCGTGTTTACAGGTATAATAGGCTTGCCGGGATAACATTAATGATATCCGATGTCATGTCTTTGGACAACAAAATTGCTGAACATGTTGGCTATACATGAAGGAATTTTAAAAATTTCAGAAAATGGGACTTTAGTTTAGATAAACCACCTTATTAATGTTATCGGTGGGGGCAAGTTGAAAAAGGTTTGTATGACTGACTATAAAAAAAATGTTCATATGGTAAGTTGCAAAAATGACGATAGTATGGAGGTTTTGAAGTCTTACCCATATTCCGATTATAAACATCTATTACAGTTATTAATTAGGGGTTTTGTGAAGGCATTAGTGGTGTGTTATTTACACTTTTATTGCACTTGTCTGCTTATTGTGAAATAACTGCGAGAATGATTTATGCAGTTGGAAGAATTTGAGCGTGCAACGAGATCGAGTTACATCAGTAGTAACTCGGCTGATCAAGATGCAAGAGATAGACATCAGGAATTCATAGTTGCTATCAAGAATCAGATAACAAAAGTTGAAAGGTCTTTAACCAAATCCACAGTTTCACATGGCAAGCCACCTCTGCCCTGGGTGAAATTAGATGAAGGTGAAAGAAATGAACTTGCCTTGTTTCTTTCGGAACCATCTTTGAATATGACCTCAAGCAAAGGTCACAGTGTCAAACAGGGAGTGGAAAGCTTGCAAGAGGCCTATGGACTAACAACGAATAGGACTTCTTCAAGGAGTTCAGCTCATTTGGTTGAGTTGGACCAAGTGAGCGGTAAGAAAGAGAAGTTTCCAGGTCATCGTAGGACGGCTAGTGCCAGTGCTGACATTGGATCTTGGAAAATTATGGTGCCTGATGATGTATTGACACATAGTCAATCCAAAATAAATCCCGATCCACCCCCACGAAAGATACCTAGTATTTCAAGCTTCTTGAATACCATGGAATCTTCTGTATCTCAATTAAAATGGTCAAGGAATGGTTACAAGAAATTAACGGTTACAGATCAGCCTCAAGAATTGGATGCCACACTGCCGAAGCATCAGAGTTTGACCCGAGTCAGTGTTTTGATTTTTTCGTGATTATAACCATGATAATTGTCTCGTCTCTTTTGTAAGTTCTTGTTAGTTGTGCTGCACTAAGCATGACAAAATTGTATTTAATGTGAAGGGAACAAACTTATGCTATGAGAAGAGTAAGAGTTGCATTGCAGTTTGCGATGATTGTTATGACAAGCAGTGGTATGGTTGGTACGGTAGCATCCGGAGACAACTTCAGAGGTCTCAATATCATATCCAGTACAGTCGGCCTGTTCAAGTCATTTTCTCCGTTATATTCCTTCTATGCTTACTTGGTGAGCTTGCTAAATTTACTCTCTTCTTTACTATGACTATCTTGGTTTACTTTTTGGCAATGATTTTGGTGAGGAACACTTGCATATGTTAACAGTTCCAGTAGTTGGACGATCAAATCTTCTCCCTGAGCCTTGTGTGTGTGCTTTCTTTTATCATAAGATGTTTATGTTACACTTCTAAAACAACAGCAGTATCAAATGTTTGAAACATGATTATCGATATTTATTATTTAACTTGATGGTGTCTTATTTGGGAGTTCAATGATATTTGGCGTTTTCCCGTATAAGTAGTACAAATGGCTTTACTAAGTATAATAGATGATAGTTGATGTTAAAATATTATATGACGTATGCATATTTTTTTTTCTTTGCTTGTTTCATACAAATGATTTACTTTATACTATGTATTGGGAGTTGGATTGCTTGTGGCCTTAATATGTAGGGAAATTCCATTACAAGGCCTAACTTTTTGTATTTGTATCAATTTAAGGCCTGATTTTTATTCCTTCTAAATAGAAGGTTTACATTTTAGATTATTCTCAATTTAAGACCTACGTTTTAGTTAACTTTTCATTGTAAGGTCCAACTAACTTACTTTTTGGCATAAATATGTGAACCAACTATTATGTGAACAAAAATATTATTAATATTTTTTTCTTGTAATTTATATTTTACATACTTATAATAAAAAAAATAATAAATATCTTTAGTATAATTACATTAATAAAAAATGATCTATATAAATTACAATTATGAAAAAGTTTAATAATGATTATTTTAAAAAAATGATAAATTAAAAAATATGCAACTAAAATATTATTTTTATTAATAATATAAATATGTGCTAAAATAAAAAAATAATATTTGAATAATGTTTCCTTTATTTTAGTTTTTTCAGGATTTTAATTTTTTTTTCTTACGCAAAAGTTGATACCATTGTATATATTTAGTTTATTAATAAAAATAATATTTCCATTAAATATTTTTAAATTCACGTATCAATTTTTTAAGATAATCATTATTAAATTTTTCCATATATATAATTTATATACTTTCATTTTTTTTATTAAGGTAATTTTTTTAAAGATATTAATTATTTTATATTATAAGTATGTAAAATATAAATTACAAGAAAAAATAGTAATAACATTTTTGTTCACATAATAGTTGGTTCACATATTTATGTCAAAAAGTAAAGTTAGTTAGGGCTTATAATGAAAAGTTAACAAAAAAAGTAGCCTTAAATTGAGAATAATCTAAAATGTAAACCTTTATTGAGAAAGAATAAAATTTAGGCCTTAAATTGATACAATTACAAAAATTGGGCCTTGTAATAGAATTTCCCCTTAATATGGTGTGTGTGAATGAGACTTCAATTTGTTTGCAGGAAATATGCAGTTACTTGTGAACATTTCTTTATGTTTAAATAATTTCAGAAATTACATGGTATTAAAAGTAAGAACGATGCATATGGAGTCCTTTTTTCCTGTAATCTGGAAACTGGTTACAAAGTTATGCATCATTCCTTTATTTTTTTCTGAAATCTAAAAAGTAGTAACCGAGTTAATGTTACGAGAATAATAAAACATGAATGTATATACTCAAATGAATTGAAAATGACACATTTTAATTTGGCGATCCAGTCCCAACAGATACGTTGTTAACCCTAATAATCTTTCTATGCCCTAGTGGTTTCAATTCTAGTACTTAAACAAACTTAGGTACCGGAAACAAAAGCCCTATCCATCGCTTTAACTAAAAATAGTAAATAAATTAATTAAAAATAGAAAATGGAAATAGATATGTAATACTAATATCTCAAATGAGTATGAGAAAGCTTATTAATACGTATCAAGAGTCAGTTCAATGGCTTTACTACTCTACCAATCAGTGTAAATATCTAATCATATTCAATTGCATATGTCCATGTTGGAAAGGCTCGATCAATTGGTTGGCCATGAGATAAGAATGTATAAATGGTACTCATAAGCCTTTGATTGGCATGTTAAGTTGGTCATTGGTGTACTCTTCTAGTAGAAATACCTTTAGTTTGGGCCTTTTCCTCTCTTTGGCACTCATATTATGGGAAATTTCAAAATTGCTTCCATTACTTTTGCAGTGTATTAAAGTAGTCTCATTGGCATTAAATCAAGCCATACTGGTTCTCATAATTTTATAATCATCAAATTGAGGACACTTTTGGTTGGAAATTCGAATTTCGGCTGCAAATTTAATGACATGCCAAATTTTCTGGCCAAATTGTCATCAAAATTGATTTCATTTGGACTACTTTGATACACACTCATAGGTACGAGACCATTTTTGAAAATTAATCCACTGATATTTGCATTTGTGAAATATGCCCGGGTTGTTTTATTGGTTTTGCATTGCATCGGTAGCCGCACTGCTCTTTCCCAACTTGCGTCGACCGTTGAAGGAGACTGAGTATCAATCGTATCCATGTCTAGGGGTAAAATTTTTCATCTTTAGTTTCTATATCTATGAGCATTCTCATCTTTCAGCTAGCTTGATACATAATAGAAGTTTGCCACTTTTGCAAAATTTGGCCGTTTGTACTATGTTATGTATCACTTCCATAACATTTCTGCGAATGAAATAATTTGAACATATTATTACACATTTAATATCACCCCAACTCGCACTCGCACCTTCCTAGTGGACTCACTAATTGATCACTACATTCAAAGGTATTATGTTGCATTAAAAAATTAGAATTAACTCTAATATAAAATGCAATATGAACATTGTTATAGTAGATTATGTAGTAATGATTGATGTTCATTTTTAAAATTGTATTATTAAAATTGAGGTAGGGGAAAGTAAGATGAATGAATAGTATACTTTATAAGAAAACTTTCTGCAACAAAATGAAAGTGAATTTTTGGGTATTCCATACCAGCCTTAACTTTTGCAATAAGCATAACTTGCACTGACAGCAGAAACGGCCCACACTGGAAAAAAAAATACTATCTTATATACCTTACTCAAAAAATAAATTAATACTCTATTAATAAAATAAAAATTAAATAAAAAACAGTGGGAACACAAAGAAGGGAAAAAAAGAGATAATGAGAAAAAAATCACTCTTCTTGTTAATTTTGGTGAAAGTAAAGTTAGACCTTTTTTTATTAGATTTGATATAAAAATTAAAAACTTAAACGTGTAGTTAATTGAATGTTGTTCTTAAAGGACTATTAACATATTTAAATGTATGTGTGATTGATAACTTGTAGGACTCTGAAAAGTTTGATATATTAGATAAAATATTTTATATATAATAATTTATTTATTTTTATATAAAATTATGGAGAAATATTTTTATAAATAGTCTTCACAAAAAAGGCATGTGAAAATATTTCAAAATTAGCTACTTTTAGTCCAAATATAATTAAGGTGAATTATAATATTGTTAGGCCGAAAGAAAATGTAAAAACTTATTGTAGAGTCATACCAAACTATGAAAACTCATAAAAATTTCTATGGATGTGTATTTTTGTATTTATACTTTGTTATGATGTAATATATTTAGGGCTTGTTTGGAAACACCTATTAAGAAGTCCATTTTAAGATGAATTTTTTGAAAAGTGACTTCTCAAGAAATGTCTAATATAAACTTATTTGAAATGGACTTTTTGTGGGAGTTACTTTTTTATAAGTCCATTTTGTTATTTACATCAATAGGAAATGGTCTTTTATAGTCAAAAGTCCATTACAGAAGTGATTCCAAACATACACTTAGTTTCTAGAAACAAGTAGGCCCCCACTCATATTATGAGCTAGATCCGCCCCTGACTGACAGCATATGACAGCATATAATATCTGACATAAATGCTTATGACGTTATTCCTTGCAGTTCTACTGGTATTTCGTGAACTATGAGGTGGATCTTCTCTTCATCATTGTAATTCAACAATTCACTAATGAAAGAGCTGAACTGTGGGTCTAATCTATTTGTTCACCTGACCAAGGTAGGTACTGTATAATAAATTTTGTCTTAAATTTGTATATTTGAGTTGTGACGTAAGTGTAGTTGCATGAGAGGCAATCCAAAATGTTCTTCTAAATTATAGTTGTACGTTGTATTTGGAGTAGTTTTTGTAACATTTTTGTTTGGTATTTGTAGCTTTTTACACCCTAGAGTTTTGCTCTAACCATTTCTGTGGTCTTAGTTATCATTTATGTTTATGATAGATTGTATATTACATGGCGTAGGATATGTATTTTGATGGTGACCATTGGGCAGAATTATAACCTGTTGTATGATGACGAGACTGGACATTCTATAATTTTTGAGTTGATGCATAAAAATGGTTGGAGCCAAATATTTCATTTGACCTAATTTATGCATGTAATTCTTAGGTAATCGGTCAGACAGCGTAAAGTATATGTTTTTGAATTAATGATTTTGGTTGTTGATAAATAAGATAGAATAGGTTTTCTTTGGCGAGCAACTGTCATTCGTGAGACCTATCTACCTATTATCATACAAATTGATTCTAGATTTGTAATCTTTTTAGGTTGCATCTTTGTAAGAAGTGAGAGAATGCCATGGGTTATTTGTAACTTTGAAATACAAACTGGAGTTTTTTTAGTAACATACTAACATTTGTGATCAACTTTAGTGGTATCATCAAATTTATCTTTGTATGGCAAACGCTGTTATGAGAATCATTACGACTGTTTGAGATGTCATACTCCTTGAAAAATGTGTAATTATATCGTCAAAATGTCAAATTTTGGCTTACCAGATTTTCTTTTAAGATATAACATTTGATTATGTAAGTATGTCATTTTGCTAAAAAATAAAAATGTGTTCGCCTAATAATTGTATTGTCTTTTTCCAACATTTATGTACATACATATCCTTAGCATTTGATCCTTCTATCGGCTCCATCAGTACACACAATTTGTTGAATTAAAAGTTGAAGCAAAAGCTGTTGTGCTTGTGCAGGAACGCCATCCAAATCTTGATAATTGATTCATCTTCAGCATAGTTTTACGACAATTATTACAAAGTTCTTAGCATTAGCACTATCATCCTGAAATTGAAGAAAAAACTATATCAGGTAAAGAAATTTGCACTGAGTTTGCAATGATATGCTAAAATGGGCTCCAATTAAAAAAAGAGCTTAGAACAATGGATCACCTGCCATTGACACAACCCAATTTGTCCAAAATTTATTAAATATTTGAATACTATCATTCATTATTTTATTATCCTTGTATCATCAATGAAAATTTCTATGTTACATTCTTTTCAATGAAAAGTAGCACCCTAATTCAATAGGTGTTTCTTAAAGGAGCGCGTGAAGATCTTGGTTAGGAGTATCAACAGCTATGGGAGGCATTGACTATGGAATATACTAAAGTCAACAAAAGGAGCCATTGATTGATATTTTGTCGCCTTCATGACAATAATGCTTAATATTTAAATAATGCTTACTATTTAAGTATTAATGAAGAATATTCTTAATTTTACCATAAACTTAAAATTAAAGGGCTAATGCAATAATTTTTCATAAACGTGAAAAAGATTTTTCCCCCCTTATGTGGATGTGTGTAGTTTGAGCTTTCATTAAATATGTTCTTTTTATTTTTTATTGAAGTAAAATCTTGTTGGCGATTGGAAATGAGTTTGTTTAGATTGAATTTGAGTTATTGGGTAAATTGAGTTAAANAAAAAAAAAAAAAAATATTAGGATTTTAGATTTGATTTTGAGTTTGTGAGTGAATATGTAAGAGAAAATTGCAAATTTGGTCTCAAAACTTTTGCTATTTCCCACATTTAGTCCCAGGCACGTCAATTATAGTCCTTTTTGAATTTTCGTTGTCAAAATGGTCCCACGTCCGTCAATATTGACGGGGCTCGTGTGAGGACGTTAGATTGGACCAATTCTGCAATTTTGGGACCAATTTTGTAATTTTTCAAAAAAAAAAAAAATAAATTCTTCAAATTCTTCAAGTCTCTCTCATTTACTCAAAGCCGAAATGACATAATAAAATTAATTTACTATGAATATTATGCGAGAAATAAATATTAAAAATAATTTTATAAAAATAAATATCGGATGAAAAAGTAAAGGCGTTGATAAATTTTAATTTTGGGTGGAAAAATAAACGATATAATTTCTAATTGTGTGGTATTTATTTTATTTTTTAATATTTTTACCGTCATTACTTAAAAAATATTAGCAATTATTTGAATATTAGTTAAATTAATGAATATTTAGAAATAATATTATTTTAATTAAATAAAGCAAACCAAAAGACATAATCCAATTTATCAAAATAAGAAAAAATGTGAGTATGCTTACAATAATACTAATCCGTCTACACTTTTTAAATATTAGTATAATGTGATAATTTATATATATATATCCTTACAAACTTTATTAAATAATACGAATTAAAAAAAAAAAACTCAATCTAAACAATTTTTTTTTATTACTGTCTATTTTTATTTTAATAATTTTTTATTTATCAATTTGATCTTGACAACTATAAATTGAAAAATCTATTTATTTATGCAAATTACATCTACATAAAAAATTTCAATTTTAAGCATAATAAAAAAAAATAGCATTAAATTAAGTGAAAATAGACATTTGCTCTCACTTATTTATAGTAAAATATATCATATATATATATATTTTTTTTTTCATCTCATTTATCATGAACAAATTAATAAAATTATTTTATACACCTTTTGTTAAGTTACCCAATTAAATAATTATTTTATGTAAAAAAATCAAGTTAAACTTTAATTTAATTAAAAAAATGTGAAAGAATTGTATGTTAGTTATATTTATTTTTTATAATTTATTAAAAAATAAACTAAATTTATTGTTAAGAAATAATGGTAATATACGTTTTTAACATTTACTAAAAAAATTTTAAAAAAAAATGTTTCTAATAAAAATAAATTTAAATAATTTTTATCACTTACTTTTTGAGAAAATTGCAAATATGGTCTCAAAACTTTTGTTGTTTCCCACATTTGGTCCCAGGCTGTAAACGTTGACCGTTAAGTCTTGACGGAGTGGGACTATTTTGGTAACAAAAAATAAAAAAGGACCATAATTGGCGTGCCTGGGACCAAATATGGGAAACAACAAAAGTTTTGGGACCAAATTTGTAATTTTCTCGAATATGTAATTACTGAAGTTGTTGTGATATAATAGTAAAATAATGATTGTAAGTGACTGATATTTAAAAATATGTGAATGGATAATAGTGATTTTTGTTGGAAAATATACTAATAATTGATGATATTATTTACCTGTATTTATAATTTTGAAGAGAGTTAAGTTTAATTAGCTGAATGATGGTTTTTTAATTAAAAATTCGTATCCAACTGTTTAGTCAAAGTAAAATTGTCCGTCAAGACAAAACCAAGAACTTTTTACTTCCAATGCCACGAGTCTTTGATATACTAAGAATATAGTGTATTTAACTTAGATTTTCGTAAAATTTTAAACATTTTGTGGTATTCATTTGAAATTTTTAAAAATTAAAAAGTTCGTATTCAATTTATTTATCACTTTAATTTGTTTGAACTTTTTAAACTTTATTGAGAAGTTTAAAGACAAAATGCTTGTAAAAAATTTCACAATCAAATCTTAAAAGTTCTAATAATTCCAACTACATATTTTATTTTGAAAGTCTCGAATTTTAAAAGGTGCATACAAATACACTCCGAGAGTACAATTCGGAATTTACTCAAAGGAGACTCAATTATTTTTCAGCTTCTAATCAAGTTGGTAATGGTGACGCAAACATTTTTTTGTCCTTGGATAAATATCTCAAAATCGATTTACAAGAAAAGAAGGCCACAAGAGAAAGAAGTCCACTAGGCTTTGATGACTGTCGCTGCCACCAAGAGACTCCTAATACCAAATGAGCTTCAAATTTCTTCCATAGCTTTTTCGACTTCCAGTTGCTATTTGATCAAATATTACACACATAAAACTATAGTATTCACTACCAAGAAAAGANAAAAAAAAAAAAAAAGGAAAAAAGACCCCTCTGATTCATTATCAAGTCTCTAGCTGCTGGCAATAAATATCAGAGCCCATACATAGAGAAGAAAGTTTTTTGTATGGCTTCAAATCACCCAATAAACTGCCCACCATTTGACTTTTCTGCAAAGTATTATTACCATGGAGAAAGTGGCAGTTGTGTGAGGCAGAGCAGTTTTTTTGGAGGCAAAGCCGTGCTCAATCAAGGGATTGGATACTCTGTTATTCTTGGATTTGGCGCCTTTTTTGCTGTTTTCACCTCTTTCCTGGTAATAAATCTCACTCCCAATCCCATATCTCACACGTACAAATTAAGCATCAAACGATTTTCTTATGGAATGAAAAAGGATCATTAGTACACAGACATACATATATAGGAATAAGAAGTTGCAGGAAAAATAAAAATGATTTATTAGATATGGGTACATGATTCGAAGAAATTATCAATGACTTGAAATCTTCAAAATGGATGGATAAAAGTTGAATATATATTTTCCTGGATTTAGGTATGGCTTGAAAAGAGATATGTTGGATCTCGTCATACGTCCGAATGGTTCAATACCGCTGGTAGAAATGTCAAAACGGGCCTAATTGCCAGCGTAATCGTCTCCCAGGTAAATTACGTTAAATGTTTGGGTACTCGTTTTTTTTTTTTTTNGTTGTGAAAGTATTGTAAGTTTTATTTATGTTCGATTAATATGTTTCCTGTCAGTGGACTTGGGCTGCTACAATCTTACAAAGCTCCAATGTAGCTTGGGAATATGGAATTAGTGGCCCTTTCTGGTATGCAAGTGGGGCTACAATTCAGGCATGTCTTGATTTGATCATAACTTAAAGAACACATTATGAGTTTTTGCTTTTGATATGGTCATCACAAATTGGTCAGGTACTACTCTTTGGTGTAATGGCCATCGAGATCAAAAGAAAAGCTCCTCGCGCACACACTGTTTGTGAAATTGTCAAGGCGAGGTCTGTAAATTTGTTACTTCACTAATCGTTCAATTCGCCTCATTTGCTTCGACATACACTCACTCAGTGTATTTTTTTTCTTAATTTACATTTTTTTTCTAGATGGGGAACTGCAGCTCATGTTGTGTTTCTAACATTTTGCTTCATGACGAACATTATTGTGACTGCCATGCTCCTTCTCGGTGGCTCTGCAGTTGTGAATGCCCTAACAGGCGTGAACATTTATGCTGCAAGTTTCTTAATACCTCTTGGTGTTATAGTGTACACATTAGCTGGAGGCCTAAAGGCCACCTTTTTGGCAAGCTACATTCATTCTGTAATAGGTATATATCTTTTTAACTGCTCATTTTCCATAGACAATTTTCTTGATCATCATACCAAATTTTGGGGCTGATTTTTGTAACTAATCCTTTTTATTTTTTTTTTTAAATTTTAAATAAAAAAATTGCAGTACATGTAGTTTTGGTCATATTTGTGTACCTAGTGTATGTTTCGAGCAGTGAACTCGGTAGCCCAAGCATCGTATACAGACGCCTGCTCGAGATCGCCAGCAAGGCACGAAACTGTGAAGATCCAATTTCCCACGCCGGCCAATCTTGTGGGCCCGTCACAGGTAACCACAAAGGCTCTTATGCCACGATGCTGAGCTCTGGAGGCCTTGTCTTTGGCATAATCAACATCGTCGGGAATTTCGGTACAGTTTTTGTTGACAATGTATGTGCCTGACCCATTTTTTAGCATAAAAGAACATATTTTGTTCTACTNTTTTTTTTTTTTTTTTAAACTTGATTTTAATGATTTAACGGATTTTTAAGAAAAATAACAGGGGTATTGGGTGAGTGCGATTGCTGCTAGGCCATCTTCAACTCATAAGGGCTATTTGTTGGGTGGACTAGTGTGGTTTGCTGTACCATTTTCTCTTGCAACTTCACTTGGGTTAGGAGCATTGGCACTTGATTTGCCGCTAACTGCAGCCGAGGCGAGTCACGGGCTCGTCCCGCCTGCTACAGCAATTGCCTTGATGGGGAAGGGAGGATCCATACTTCTTCTCACCATGCTTTTTATGTAAGTCCTTTGAAAATCTTGCAAACTTGAACAATCATCATTAGCAAAGTTTGCATTTTGCACATACGACGTATACCGCACGTACGAAGTATACCGCACATACGACATATTAAAAAAAATGTACTTTTTTTTCTTTATTTGAAATCTTCAAAAAGAAAAAAAAAAACGATGATTAATTAGGGCCGTCACGTCCGCGGGCTCCTCCGAGCTAATCGCCGTCTCGTCTCTATGCACGTACGACATATACCGCACATACATAAATCCCCACGCGACCGGAAAACAAATTCTCAAAGTGTCGAGGGCCGTTGTCTTAACATTCGGCTGTCTCATGGGAATCCTAGCCGTCATCCTAAACAAAGCCGGCGTGTCCCTCGGTTGGATGTACTTAGCAATGGGTGTCTTCATAGGCTCCGCCGTCATCCCCATAGCCTTCTTGCTCCTCTCGACAAAAGCGAATGCAAAAGGCGCCGTTTTCGGCACGATCTTCGGTTGCTTGCTCGGGATCACGACTTGGCTCACGGTCACCAAAGTCGAGTACGGGCGAGTGAATCTCGACACGACCGGGAGGAACGGGCCCATGTTGGCGGGTAACTTGGTTTCGATACTCGTGGGTGGGGCGATTCACGGCGTGTGTAGTTTGATTTGGCCGCAAGATTACGATTGGGGGACGACTAAGAAAATTACGATGGTCGAGAAGGATGATAAGAGCGAGTTGTCAGCTGACGAGTTTAAGGAGGAGAAGTTGAGTAGGGCAAAGGGGTGGATTGTGAAATGGGGTGTTGGGTTTACTTTGGTGATTGTTGTGTTGTGGCCCACTCTTACTCTCCCTGCAGGTAAAACCCATCACTGCTTATAGCTTATTTGGTTAGCTTATAAGTTTCCTGTATTCAAATAAGCTTCGTTTGGTAGGACGAACTTTTTTAAACAGCTCGAGCTTATCTCATATGCTTCTTTGGGTAGCTTTTCAAATAAGCTCGTTGAAATTTTTATTTCAGCTAGCTTATCAGCTAATTTTATCAAGCACTTTTATCATATAAGCTAGCTTTTCTGCTATACGTCATAAGTTATAAACTATAAGCTCGAAAATTACCTATAAGCTATAAGTTAGCTTATCAGCTTTCATCTAGCTTATCAACTAGTTTTACCAAACATAGCTTACAGTTTGAAAATTTATAGGAAAATAGTAAGAAAAAGCTAATAATTTATAGTTTATAATAATTATGAAAATTCTTTTGGGCTATGTTAGGGCAATTCAGCAAGGGATACTTCACATTCTGGGCAGTGATTGCCATTGCGTGGGGCACAATTGCTTCGGCCGTGATCATAGCTCTGCCGTTAATCGAAAGCCGGGAGACGATTCGAAACGTAATTCTTGGCATGTTCACGAACGACAGGTTAATGGAGAAAATGGAAGAGATTAACTTGAAGCTGCAAACGATCATCTCATCGATGCCGGAAGTGGAAAGAGCTTACTTGCTCGAGAAAGGGAAGATGAAGAAAAAAGAAGCGTTGGAAATAGATCAAGTTCATATCTTGCCCGCGTAATGTTTTAGTATCAATGATAGTTGAATAAAGTAAATGTTCAAACAGATTTTAACATATGCAGTGTTCATTACATATTACTTGAGGCTTCATTTGTCTTTAGAAATTGCTCATTACTTTTTTTTTTTTTNTTTTTTTTTTTTTAGTGCATGATTCTCTATTTTGAACTAATAATACCAGTACAAGAAAATATGTGGAGATCAGCAAAAATATATTTTAGGGTGCCAATTTGTCCTTCTTGTGCTGTTTTGAGTGAGGCACTTTTGGTGTGTCCACTAATCTTGATGGTTTATCTAAAAAGGTTGAGGTTACTAACTGAGATCTCCCTCATCAGGCCCCCAGCTCTCGTCTTGGCCCAAGTTGGTTCAATTGATCTCACGACCAACATGATCAAAAATAAGATCGTGACTGCACGAACAGATGGGTTGGTCACTGGATTGAACGGCTTGCAATCTAAAGGTGGGATTGTGAAGAAGTCGCAAAGAGAAAACTTTTTCAGAGCCACCCTTAGATTGCCCGACTATTTTGTAGTCGGTGTTATTTTAGGATCAATTACTCCAACCCCAGAACATTCTTGTCGAGGGTGACCTAATTGATTCGTATTCTTGTCAAAGGTGGGCTAATAAAGAGATCGGGAAAAAGCTTTACAGGAACAGATCCAGAAAATGTTAGTGGAGAAAGCGGTAAACAATATAATTTTAAAAAACATCACACGTTCAATATAAAAGAAAAATTATGTACTTCCAAACATTTCTCGCAGTTAGAGTTGTTTAATTTTCTCAAAATATGGAATATATTAATAGTTGACTCGAACATGTACAATATAAAAATACAAAAAAATAAAAGAATAATCTCATGTTCGAATTTTCTATAAACATATATCATTTATTTCCACCACATTAAATTGCATATCTTAAGTGCTCTGTACATAAATTAACTCCTCGTATTAAGTTATATACAAAAGTATTTATAGAAGACTTATAAGGTCTAATTATTATTTATAATAATTAGTACATGGACTAGTACAAACGAGTTAGGGTAGTTGTGCAAATTCTTTTACTAATACTCTTCTTTGAATTATCTATTTTTAGGTAAGAGTGTTGATTATCAAAGCTTTGACTTATTTATTTAAATTGAATATCAATAAAAATATAATTTTACACATACTTAATAGAAAAAAAAAATATTGGGGGTGACAATGGCCTCCCCCTAACTTACATGTAGATCCGCCTCTGAAGCTTTGAGTTTTAAGTTGGGCATCACAGGGTGAGAGGATGGACGGTAACGATTTTTTGAGAGGCTCATTTGCGGGTGTCTGTTTAGGTAGAGGATGAGATAAAAAGGTTTGTATAGACGGTCTGCTGGGTCGCCCTTCCATTTGGGCAAAATAACGGTATAAGAGGGGTTACTTGGAGGGTCGACAGATCTGCCCTTCCATTTGGACAGGGTAACGAGATAGAAAATGGCATATGGAAGGCTAAGCTAAACGACTATGCGAACCATAATAGGGCTCGGTTGTTCGACGATGCTTTTCTTCTAGCGCCATTCTGTTGATGGCCATTTTCACGAAGGCATTGTGGTTAGAATTTTAGAATGAGTAGAATAGGAATAAAAATGGGAAAGGAACGTAGGAACAACAAGACAGTCGACTAATTAGGTGTTGCTTGCACCGGGAATTTTATAGGGATTTAGGCCGCTCCCAGACCTCTTTTAGACAAGAGCATATTGAAGGTGATATGAGCTAGAAAACTAGGTGATATGAGCTAGAAAACTAGCGAGAATTATAACAACTCTAGTATTGTTGGATGGATTTTTGGATCTATTTTTGGATGTTCTTTGCTAAGCCTCGAATCCTTGCTATTTCATTGAAGGTGACACATGTCCCCCACAACTTGCTCAACTTGCTTAAGTGGCTTATGTCTTTGCGACGTGCAGACTGTTTATAGGCGGCAACTCTTTTCACATCAGATTTAGTTGAGGTCGGCGTGAAGGAAGGTTCATTCGCTTGTGGCATGTGTGAAGTGATAATCTCTCTTCATTGTGGTAACGTTGGTTTGACGTGTCTATGGCCTGGAGTGAGATCGACATGTAGGAGGAGATCGGCTTGGATGACGGTGTGTTTATCCGATCCGACGTATGCTTACGCCCTTGTGTGGGCATCGTGATTTGGGTCTTCGGGATATCGCTAGAACAGACTCATTGTCCACGTCATCATTGTTTAGCAAGCTCAATTTAGATCAATAGATTTTTGGGTACACCAAACTTATTTATCAACTAAATAAATTTATCTATTAAATTGTTATATAATATGACTTCAAAAAGTTATTATATAATAAAACTTACAAAAATTATTATAATACTATTAAGCAACAAGTGTCGTGCCCATTTTTTATGCTTCGTGATCATTTATGTCGGAAATGGTGATTCATAGTTCTCTATGTTTGGTTTGGAGCACTACAAGTAAATTTGGACTTACATTTCATGTTTATTAGGTCTTTAAAAATTAAAGACATACTTGATCAACTTAAATTATAAATATATTTTAAAATTTAATAATAACTTTTGTATTTATTATCATATTTTCATATTCATTCACTAATTTTTATTGATTCGATTTGATACAACTCTTTATTTTGTGTTATTTTTAACAAAAAAAAATAGAATCAATTTAACCTAAAATTTATGTTATCACGAACACAAAACATGTTGTAAATGAATAAATTTGCAGGCAAAGAGAAACAAATAAAATGGAGGTCATTCATTAATTTTAAACAATGAGTCGACTTGGGAGTTAATTGGTGGAAAATGTCATAAAATTAAAAGATGTTGAAGCTATTTGAATTTATTGTACTAAAGTATAGAATTCCAAAAAACGGTATAATTAGAAGTTATTGTACTAAATTGAAATTCCAAAAAATTACTAGATGAAAATGCTATATAAAATTAAAAGTTACCATGCTAAGAAAACAATAATAAAAGAATAATAATAGGCAGAGATGAGAAAAACAGAGAGAAAAGGAAAGGTACTGAGTACTTGAACTTAAAGAAGAGTGTCGTCACAAATTTGTCTGCAACTTGCGTAATTTTTCAGAGAAGATGATGAACCCAGAAAAAAGGTAATTTTATTTTTTTATTTTTTTTCTAACAGAAGTCAATAATCTGCATATCAGATCTCAGTGTCCGGCGACAAAGTATGCGATCCTGTCGAAGAGCTTCCGAGTCTGCTCTGCGGTTGCGGCGTCGTTATCCACCGCAACCTTGTTCAGGTAGAAGCTATGGCCCACGCTCTCGCTCACGAAAAGCTCAATTTTCTTTTTTGCCCCTATCATCGCCCTGTAGAACTCCATCTCCGTGTCCCACAACAGATCCTGCCGCGCCACGCAGTACAGATACGGCGGCAGATTTTCCCCCTCCAACGGCGGCGCCTCTTTCCCCATCGGGCACGTGATGGGGTGGTCCTTGGTGGCTCCCACCGGAAGTGCCAGATCCAAGAACTTGTCCACCATGTCCAGCGTCAGGAACGGCGTCTCCGGCTGCTCCACCTCTGACCTGCTCCGCCGCGACCGGCAGAACCCCGGGTGGATCGGGATAGCGCCGGCGATCCTCAGAGGGCCCAGATCCTCGCGCCCCGCGCGCGCCGCCACCTGGTGGACGATGTTCCCGCCGGAGCTGTCTCCGACGAGGAAGACGCGGCGGAGGTCGGCGGCGCGTAGCGGAGGCGGGCGGGGAGAGTCCCCGGCAGCGACGGATCGAAGCCAGAGGAGGGCGGCGAGGCCGTCGTCGCAGGCGGCAGGGAGGCGGTGCTCCGGCGCGCGGCGGAGGTAGACGGAGACCACGGCGGCGGCGGCTGTTCGGGCGAGGCGGGTGTAGGCGGCGTAGTACATATACCAGTCGGCCTCGCTGATGCAGAAGCCGCCGCCGTGGAAGTGTAGGAGGATTGGGATTTCGCCGTCTCGTGGGATCTCCGGCAGGTAGATGCGGATTTTCAGGCCGCCGGGGGTGGTGGTGTCAGTGGCGGATACTCCGTCTATGAAGTGGGGGTGGGGAGGAACCGGGTCGGACATGAACTTGAATTGGGGCGGTCCTGTCCACGTCCTGTCCACGGAACCGTCGTCGTACAATTTGAGCCAGCCGGAGACTTCATCAATCAGTTTCTTTTCTTGCACCATTTTCTCTTTTTTCTTAGTTGAATTCTGTGGTTTTAAGTGAGATCAGACAAATTTGCAAGATGTACTAGTTGGTGTTTGTTTGTGAGAGAGAAATTCATGTGAATTTCACGTTTCATCGAAGTCAATAATCTAATTTTGTCTTTTTGTTTAGGATTCAACTTCCTTGCAACTTCTCCAAAACCTCCTTTGATACTAAAATTCTTCAAAAATAATTCAAAATTTTTTAACTCAACTTTAACTTGACTTTATTATCATTAATATAATTAATATAATTAACTAATATTAATCAATAATTCTAACACACCACACCAACTTTAATTCACTATTCATCACATAATTTTAACTAACCGTCACTTTACATCATTATTTTCTTATTTTTGCTTCAAATCAATATTAATCATTTTATTTTAGATATTATTTTAATATATTTACCAACAAATAATCATATCATCTTTTTTCAAAATTAACCAAATCAAACAAAAAAATCCAAACAAAACAAAAATTCTTATATCCAAGCATTAAAATCCAAACAAAACCAAAAATTCTTATATCCAAGCATTGTTTTTTTTTTAAAGAAAATTTCAATTTTAAAATGAAAACATTTGAATCAAATCCCATCATATTATACAAGAAATTTGTGTTTTTTCCTTACATTTTAAAAAATTATTTGAAGCCTTATTATATACAACATTTATTGCATACTCTCTAAGCTTTACTTATATTTTAAAATTGTGTGTGATGTATCGGGACCTGGATTTAGATTGAACCGGCTGAGGAAGAACTGATTGTCTAAGAATAACTGATTACCTGCAAAACAGGAGCCGAGAGTAGTTCCTGGCGTGAGCACTTCGACATTCAAATCCTATGGGGAAGAAGGTGATAATGTGTAATGTATCTAAAGAATTATGAAGAGTGTGTAGAGTATTTCAATTGTATCTCAACCCCTTTTTACAGGAGGAATACCTTGGCGCCCAGGATTTAGCTGCTCGGACTGCCTCGGTCAATCTTCTCGAAAATTTTCAATTGCTCGAGGTATAATTTTTATCTTCTTTGTGTTCATCCTTATCTTGATCTCGTTATTATCCTCATTAGATTCATCCTTATCGTGATCAGATTCATCTTTGTCTTGGTTAGGTCATCTTCCCTTTTCCGTAGGTTCTCGTGCGGCAGGTCTCACTAGTGAAGACGCAGAACAATGAAAGGGAATAAAGCAAAGTTCAACACCTTCACCAACTACATATATGAGCCTAAGTGTACAAATATAGATTCGGATTAATTAACATTCATCTTCTTGCATTAGAATTAAAATACACAAAACCTATCTATCTCCAAAAATCAGTCATTGGTTACACCGTACACACTAAATGACGCATTCCAAAACTCTGAGCAAGTCCACAGATATTCTTCACTTCATCTTCCCTTCATAGCCTGACAGAAAGGATATTACATTCTAGCACCAAAAATTATATGAAAATAAATAAACAATATACTTACAAGGACACTTTTTTCTTTTATCCGCATCAACGTATGCCTCATTGATCAATAGTGGTAGATTCTGCCAAAGACTGTCATATTCGAAATCAAATGACATTTCATTATCAGAAATATTAGTGAATAAGACAAAAGTATTCCAAATTCAGAATTCACTCTATATCCAAAGTTCTATTTACTGCCTTCCAAACTTTTACAACTAACTACAAAAAATTGGCACTGTTTTAAGCATAAAACGCTCTCTGTTGAAGGAATTTCCGTTAAAAAACAGATTTTGAATACGCAATCACTAGGTTGATTCAAGAAGTTAAAAAAGAACTCAATATCTGGTTTTCAGTAGTAGGATTAATCAGACTAACAGTTACTCCAATACACACAGCAATGATGAATAAATTAGGAATACGCACCAATATCAGGGGCAATTTCTGTTATGTTCTCAAGTTCACCACCTCCAGCAACAGCACGTTCTCCATTGGTCTCAACGATGTTTTCACCCTCAGCAGTTAAGAAATTCTCCACATCAGCATCAGGAGCAGGTGGCTCAACATATGGGACAATTGCACCATAATTAATCAAACCTTCATTCTCAATTTCAGCTATATCCTCAATTTCAGCAACTCTCATTTCATCCTCAGCTGTGTTAGACAATGGAAGAGAAGAAGTGGAGGAAACTTAGAAAATTTTATTATATGATCCTTCTTATTAGTTACTTCTTACATCTTGCAAATGACTTACATAGGGTGTTGTATTCATGCATTGTGTAAATTCCTAGAACTTGACCACCTAGATACATGGATAGACTCCTAGGTTCTTCTAGTAACATTAACTAATATTAATTTAGTTTAATAATTCAACAAGCAATACCTTTCTTGGGAAAATCAATGCACAAGTTTTTACCAGCCTTGTTGCCTCTAAGTGCGGCCTTCTCCTTCACCTTGTGTCTTCTCCCCTGAAGGTGAGCGTCAAAAGATTGTTGGCCGGTGCAGTTGACGTTACAAGTGGAACAATGCCAATCTGCTTTAGGCTTTTTGTTCCAGATGCCACCTGTCACTTGAGCTGGTGGTGACACGGACTTCCTCTTTAATCCCGTTATATTCTCATCAACCTTCCCCTGGAATAACAGAAACAATGTAAAAGATGAAAACAGGAAAACAAAAATATTAGTGTAATGCTGAAATTTATCAAGATATGATCCAGCTGCAAGTGCACAACGGTTTTTAGGTTCAGCAGAATTAGCAGATAATAAGCGAAATAAGAACACCTACCAAACGTCGACATAACCTTTAGAAAGATTTGGTTATAAGCAACACAAAAATGAAATTATTTCATGAAATGAGGTAGAAAGTTGGTATTTAGTCTTCTTGTTTCAGATGCATCGTGACATTCAGTCCCCTTTGTTATCATTGCTAATATTTATTATAAGGATGGATTTTACGGATTGTCACATGTGCAGGAGAATAAAAGACTCAGAATAAAATTTCAATCTTCCGATTCATAGACAAATATAATAAATCAGTCCGTCACCATATAGCCATTCAACATATTTTTAGAATCTTCTGTTAAGTTATCAGGACAAAAGGGTAAAAAATTAACATATTAAAACCAAACATTTCCAAAAGCCTATACATTGCCCAACCCAGAAAAAGCATAACAATGCATGGAGGAAGTTAATTGCACTGTCATCTACACAAAATAATAAACGAAACAAATGGAAGACCACCAATAAGATTGTAATAACATATTATGTCCTGTCTTTTCACAGCATCATCTGATAGTCCGTCTGCATTATATTAAAATATCGCCACAGCAAACTGACCTTAACATTTTGTTTCTCGTCAAGCCCACTGTGGACAGGCTTAATTTCCGAAGAAACTCCCAAATCCGCATAACTTACAAATGGCAGTGTTTGAAATCTGACATTACTGTTATCTGCTTTGACTTCCTTCCCCTTAAGTCCAGAAACATTTACATCAGGCTTGCCCTACAACAATCAAAACAATATAAAGTGATATTACACTTATCGTGTTTAACTGAAAAAAAAAATAAAGTATATTTTACTTCTCAGGGCTCATATTTGATCAACTTATAACAGTTATATTGTTCATGCAATTAAGATTACCGAACAAATCACTTTGAGCATTTATTTCATAAGATAGCCTGCTGCGGTTAAACCAAGCATATTAAAATGCAGGACGTATATGTCAACATAGACTATGGAGAGATTAATAACACCATGGAAACAGAGATTTTAACTGAAACAGATAATACAGTTTTTATCAAAGACCCAAAAAAAATGTCAATAATGTGGTATGTATCATGATCGATACCTATGGGATCAATATACTCAATATGTTAGTAATAATCATTACAGAAGTATTAGGTCCAGGAAATGCAAGGGTGAAAATAGAAAGTTAGGATCTTTGTCCCAACTCAAGTAATATATTTCTAGGTGGATTTTCAAGTGCAGATAAAAATCCTTACATGTCGTAGTTAGAGTTAATATTGTTCTAATGGTGATCTTGAAATTGAAATTTAAAATATTACAAGCATGAAAGTGATTACAAAACTCCACAATAAATTTCAATCTCCATGATCATGGATGAACAAATCAAATTGGTCCATGCGACCTTATGCAAACAATGTAAATTGCATGATCTTAGTCAAGGCAACTGAAAAACAGAAGTAAAAACTTTGACAAGATAGCCTAAATAATTATCAAACAGTACATCGCTGTGTGGTCAAAAATTTTAAAGCTTTATAATCTAAGCTAGATGTCAATGAAACAACTTAATAACAGCATTTATATAATATAATAACCATGCACACCATCTTGCATACTTATTAACATAAAATCAGATTATATTCGTCCCAAAGGCATATGACTATATATGTAAAGCACAACCCATATTAAACACAACCAACACAGTGCACTAACATGTAATGCCCATGAACTAATTATATTTTGAATCTTATTATGTAGCTCTAAATTTTCAAAACCACCCATGTACAGAGATCAAAACTCAAATTCCAGTACACAAAAAGCTACAAAAACACAGAACTCCAAAGCATAAAACCAAGAACACAGAGAGTATGTTATTCCTACTTACCAGAATAATGAGTTTCTTTCCTTTACTGCCCTCTCTGCATACAGGCTTAACCTCGGGGATTCTCAAACCACCCGTCCTTCCATTTTCCTTCTTGGCCTCGTCCACCACCATCCTCACTCTTTCTTCCAAAAATGCCCCATTTCCACTTTTGCCCATAGGCGGGACCCACCTCAAGAGCTCACTCCTCAACTCAGCTTCGAGGACCCTTTTTCTCGCAATCTCGTAAATCATCAGCTCCTCTATGATTTTTTCCTTCTCCATCTCTATTAAGACTTCCCTGCGAAGATCTTGAGAGTAGGATGAAGGGACTGAGTATCGACTTAACGAGGTAGAGAGTGGATGACGCATTTGCCCTTTGTCTTGTTCCATAGCTGAAAATATTTACGTTAACACCATAAAGATTCATACATACAGAGAACGAGGGATGCGTGACGAACCTTGTTGAATAAGTCTATCTTTGTAGTCCATGTTCTGATTCTTGAGAAATCTTGAGAGCACCGTCCAAAAGTTTTCCAGAAATTTAGGAATGATTTTTCTACGATTTCCGTTAGGGTTTTGCGAAACTGAAGATGGGAGGGAAATTCCAATGGAGAAGACGATGTATGTTGCTGTTGTCTAACGATGGAGGACTTTATTTATTTGAACAAAAACATATCTGTCTGTTATATTTAGACTAATCCACAGATTGGAGAATGGGCTGTGTTATTCATTCTGGAAATTTGAATAGCACCATACATCTGGTACGTACTTATAATAATATTAAATAGGTGGTGAATTTATATTCCCAACGTTTGAGAACAATTCTGGAAATCTGTAAAAAGTGATTTTCCATGTCTAAAAGACTAACACACCAGTATAGTATGTTGCCAGAATTGATCTTAAATGCGAATATCTTTTCTGACATGTATGATTTTGTTTTATTTCATCTCTGTTGCTAAAGTTGGTGGCATGGACTGATGGACGAAACTCTCTCCATGCTTTATGAGTGAAAATGCTTAAATGATAGTACTATGTTGTTTACGCACCTTCCTATGTATAAATATGTCTACAGAGTATTTTTAGTTAATACTCCTATATATTAGCAGAAATTAATTAATAGCAAGCAATCGGATAAAAAAAATAAAAAATTATGTTCAGTCAAAATTTGTCTTATTTAAATTGAATATCAAATAAAAACTTTTTACAAAAAATACTATCTCTTTCATCCCGTTTTATTATCTGCAACTAATTCTCCTAACACAATTAGAAAACAAAGAAAAATTATTATTATTATTATTATTATTATTATTATACGAAAAACTCATACAGCTCAGCCTATTAAATGTTTAGTAAGACAAGTGCAACAAAAGATTTTGTTAATTGAATCTAAGATATTAATTCTAAGCGTAGCGTATTTAAAATTTAGGGATATCTTACAGTTTGTGTTTATACCGACTCTGACACTTGGGTTCCACTATACTCGATTTATCTACGCATGTTTAAGATATCGAATGTGTGTTAATTAATTTAATTAATTAATATATTTGTTTTCCGAAATTAGTATCACTCAACGTTATTATTATGTCAAAACTTAATTCAGTTGCAAGGTGAAACAATACTAATTCTTTTGAGGTCATTTCAATAGAGTGACAGAATATAATCAGCAGTACACCATGTAATTAATAATATTTCTAAGTGACTGAGCTTATTGACACCCATTAATGAATTAAAGAAACAATTATTAAGTATTATTCGGGTTTATAGTATGAATAGTATCACGAAGTCTAGTTTATTTACTGAGACTCTATAATGAATTAAAGAAATAGTTTATGTCTTACTAGAGCGACATTGATCAATTTAAGTCAACATCGGGATTGAAATTACAATAAAATTTTAAACTACAAGACATAATTGCCTTATATCACTCCAGTAAGACATAAATTGCTACCTTCAAAATTTAATAGGACCAAAATTGCATTTTAGTTGGATACTTTCATTGGAATTTTCGTTGGAATCTATTAAAAAATTCCAACGGAAATAACTGAATTGGAATATCCGTTGAGATTGTCGTTGGATAACCATTAGAATATCCGTTAAAATTTTTCGTTGTAATTTTATCATTTTCTTGTAATACATAAATAAGCGAATGAAATAAACTCGAGCTTTTTTTAAATTGTTCTGCCAAATCAAACTTATTTAAATGCAATAAACATATAAAATAACTTATTTTTCTTACAAGTCATGAACATATTTTAACAAATGAATAAACTGGGCAATTATGCAAATATAAGAGAGCTTATGCGTTATCTCCAAAAAAAAAAATATTAGAGTGAATTATTTCTTTATGGATTTTCTATTGACAAGGATTAATTTTGAAAAAATATGGTATGGTTTTTTNTTTTTTGAAAATTTAAAAATATTGTAAAAACTAAAAACCACGTAATTACAACTAGAATAGCCAAGCAGTCAGACAACTAAATCCAGGAGACCTATACGAATGTAGCCTATAAGCAAGTACACTAACTCACGTTGCTCACCCACAGCACAACAACTATACAGCTCCCAACAGGAGAATAACACGCGCCCAACAGGAGAACACAACAACACAACAACAAAAATACAAAATAAACCACTAACACTGAACAACACGCACAAACAAAACGAAAATGAAAAAAGGAACAAAGCCCTCCGCAGCCGCCCACAACAAACCGAGAACTTCCAATCACCGGAACCAACACGGACTACACCGAGAGCCCAACACCGAGCTAGTCCCCCAACACCAAACCTGGCCACGGAAGTCGACCACCACCGACGACGGCCGACCACTCCCTCCCCAACACCCCAGCACCAGGAGGCGGTAGGATCCAGGGGACTAGATGGCGTCAGTCTCAGGCCATTCGCCCACCGCAGCGAAGGAAAACGTCGGCGGCCGCAACTTGCCGAATAGACGTCGGAGCACCCTCGAGAACCGCCAGGGCCACCTGTAACTGGAGAGACGCCATGCCGTGAAGAGTGAGACGACCGAACAGGGAAGTCGCCGCCACCTCGGTATAGAGCACTGCCGCTTCAGAGGCTGTCGGCCGGCGGGCGAAAGGGAGGCACCCGCGGCGGCAACTAGAGCTTTTTCTTCTGCTAGGGCACGAAAGCTTAATTTGGATTCTTTTTTTTTTTTAAATATGGTAGTGGAATTGTGAATTTATATAAAAATAATATTTAAAATAAAATAATTAAAATTGATTTGATGTAAAAGTAAGAGATATAATGTGAAGTGATGGTTAGTTAAAATTATGTAAATAGATGAATAATGAATTAAAATTGATATAATGTGTAAGAATGATTGATTAATACTATTTAATTATATTGATAATATATTAAATATTGATAATATTGAGAATAATGAAGTTGGATCAAACTTGAGTTGAAAAAATAATTATATTAAAAATGTTTGAATTTTAACTAAATTTCTTGTATCCAAGCAAGCACTAATGGTTTACGATGTAAAGTTCAAGTTCTAATTATCACTTGTAAAAATTGTAAAAGGATTGCACAAATTGGAAAGTTTCCAGGGTTCCAGCTCATAAACACAGCATGATTGCACTTGTTCTGTCGTTCACAACAAATCCAAACCTAGAGAAAATTTTCAATAGAATCACAGGTAACAAATTACTATAATATTCAATCCAATTCTCATCCATCAGTCCATAAGCATTTTCCAAAAGCTCATAAATACCAGATACCAATTTCTATCCACAGGACCACAAGTCACTGCAAATCTGCCTATAACTGGTGTAAAAAAAACAAGCACCAATTATATTCTTTCTCACACCACAGGATGATGATACCGTAGTTTCGGAATATTTTCGTTCTCCAAAGGATATCAAAATTAAAACCTCCATGAAACTCAGTACACTTAACCAAAGGCAACTAAAACACTCAGCCAATTACCTAGACAAACACCAAGTAAAACATCACCAAAACAAATCAATCATTTTTTCTAAACCATAAAAATTCAAAAATAAAAGCAACACGTTCTTCAACCCAGAACTCGGACAACTGGCCTCAATCCCCATTCCCCCAAACACACACACACCCCACAATCTCAGATGCGACGTTTCTTGGGGCGACGGCACCCATTGTGCGGCTTACGTGTCGTGTCTTCCAAATACACGACTGGGTTAACATCACTCCTCGAATTCGAGTACCCATCCCTAAAGCTCAAGATAGCATCTTTCTTCCTCCTGAAAAACGTGAACCCATTCACCTTCACGACCACTGACCGTGTCTTCATCTGCCTCACCCTCCGCCCCACATTCTCGGCAGCCGCCTCACCCGAGTACCGCCCCAGCTTGCCACCTTTTCCCGCCAGCTGTCCAGCCGTGACCCCAAACTTCTTGTTTCCCTTGGAGTCCGTAACTGTCACAAAGGAGTTGTTTCGCATCAGTTTTATGTGGACAACATCCGCATTAGCCTCCAACTGAGGCTGCTGGTAGAGTGGGGCCCGCCCGTTAAAGCTGTTGTTCCCTCCTCTCTCTTGGAGTTTGCCACGGAATGAGTCGGCACGAGGGGGGGGCTGATGTGGCAGGCCCCTCGGGTTTGAGTCGTTATTCAGCCTATCGTTGAGCAATCCCTTGACGTAATCCATGGACCTCAAGGGAGTGGTGGTTCTTCCAGCCACATCCTCGGCTGGTTTACCGAAGTGAATGGAACTCTTGAAATTTAGAGCATGTGTTGAGGAGAGATTAGTAGATATGCTGGGTGAGTCAAGCCTTGTGCCCATGGTTCCAAAAATCGAGGAACGGATAAGAGTAAGACCTGCAATTTTTTTATTTTTATGTTTTTTTTGGAGAAGAAAAATTATCAAGATCCATGCGGTTTCACGAACAAGGAAGAAGAATGTAGAAAAAAAAAATCCCATTCTGCAGTCTTCTCAATTCCAAACAGAATCAAGATAAAGCAGTCAGTAAATGTTCGAATTTATTGAGAATTTTTGTTGATAAACAGACTCTATGAAGCACCACCTTTAATGCACCATTTCATCGAGTTGCTACGGGTGAACAAATTCGAGTTTTAGGCTCGTAGAGTTCTAAACCACAAACTGACATTTCCAAGCCGAATAATTAAATTGAACCTAATCACTTTCCATTCTCAGGCTTGGGTATACTTCTATCAGAAACCAAACATCTGAAAAGACGACATAAATGCATATACATGCTATATGCACTACACCATACTTAAAAGGTACATAAACAAAGATTAATGATGAATGAGAAAATTAAGATAGATGGTGATACATTTTAAAAGATACTACTTTCAGCACATAAATCAGAAAAAATGGATTGAAAAGATAATACAAATAAAAAATATACAAAGCCAACCGGAAAAGGCACGGGCATTCTGTGGAAACTGGGAAACCCCATGAATTGGAGTACCAAATCCAGATCCAAGGGCCAGAGGAGCTTGTCTGTGTAACTTAGCCCACATCCTGGATCCAAGGAGGGTTCTTTGGAACATTGTCTTGTTGGTATTTAACTTCAGAGTTGCAGAGAAGGCGATGAAGACTAATAGACCTGAGTGCCACAACAAAAATATATAAACTAGATATATGAAAATTTTATATATTATCATCAGTCATGGATGCATGATACATAATTATTTCAAGTTTAATCATCCTGCAAACGTAAACGAAAGCATTCAATCAAAAAAATTCTCGTCATACAAATGACACGAAACTAGACAAATTTCTACCGCATTTTTCACACTATCACCAAAGGAAACAGTTAAAAGCAAAAGGTTGAGGCGGAAAAACAATTAATATGAGTCTCTCAAATTATAGTTCTACCACTAAAACGAAACAAAATTTTCGCGAGGAATTTCGGATTTAGGGATTTGGGTAATTGGGGTTAGACGATTAGGAAGTAAGAACTTACCCTTTCGGAGATTTGACCGTGGCTCCAAATTCTTCGTACTGGCTGCGCGTACGACTACCAACCGGTGATGAACAGTGTGGACTGAGGACTGGATGCGTCGATGATTTTGGCTTTCTTCTCCACTTTTCAGTGTCTGTATGTGCTTTCCCCCCTCATTTTTTCACCTTTTCTTCCCTTGGAAACCCGAGAGTATTTGGGCATCTACATATTTTGGGCCTCATTATTTGATTTTGACATGCTCGTTTGCACTAGATTTTTTTAGAGGAAATTACATCCTCCAATTAAACAATCTGAAAATATCCTCTACTTAAACAATCTGAAAATATTATATAATTACATCTTATATATAATTATTTATAAATTAACTAAATTTGTAATATTTATTTGCATATATACTTAAAAAGTTGATTTCCTATTTATATGGTAACTTCTCCTCCCTATTTACATGTAACTTACCATCAATTACTTCCCAATCAATTACGTCTCTCTCATCTCCCCCTCTCTTTCTATTCTTCACACACGGCCGTTTCTCTCTTTTAGACGCCGACGAATGCTTTCTGGACGAGGGGATGATGTCATTAAATTGTAATTTCCAAGGTAAAGACCATATTCTGATTATTGATCTTTGCAAGGATATGATATAAACGATTATTAGGAGAAAAAAGCTTAAATAATAATATTTATTTTTATTTTTTTGCAGACGGATCTTGAAGAAGTGAGTTCTCTCTATCTCGATACCAAATCATCTGCAAAGCTTCTCTAAGAACAGCAAGATAGATACATATCATAGACCCATAAAATTCGGCTCGAACGATAATTCAGTTGATTGATCTCTTGAGATGTGAACAGTCGAGTGTTAAATCTTTTGTTTTCCTAAAGAATTGTATGATGCAACGGGTATATTTCGGTATACTCAATATATTTTCGGTATAATTTCATCCCCCTCATATTGTATCGTGTTTGTATCGTTCCCTTTGTTATATGTATCGTTTATATTCAGTATATTTCGGTATATGTATGGTTTATATTTAGTAAAATTATGAAAAATATATACAATACATATACCATCATTACGGTTTGCGTATATGATTGTATATGTTGCGTTTATGTTAGTATATATTCAGTATATATTATGTTACCATATCCATTCAACCTCCAATCAACCTTGATTTTAATTGCCTGTCAACTTTTATTTTGTGGTATATTTGCTTAACTTTTCTTAAAAAAAAAAAAGATTGATCGCGCCTCTATTGTTTTGTACTGTGTTGTGGTATATGTATAGTATATATGAAATATATACTTTTTTTCACCTGCCAGGAGGAAAAAATATACCTTGATTTTAACTGACCTATCAATTTTTATTTTTATTTTTTTGGTTATTTGTGAAACTTTTTTCAAAACGAAATTCAAAAAGCATTTTTTTTAAGCAAATGGACGGAAATCACGGGCAAAATAAGGAGAGAAAGTTGAATTGATATGGTAACTGAATCAGACAAATTAAATGCACGTGGAGAGTGGTTGGAATTAAATGGTAACTGCCATTATGCATTAATGTAGATAAATATTATCTTTTAGGCAAAGTAACAATTAATTGCATGTATGTGGTAGGATTGTAATTTTTTTAGAAACGTGTAGGAGGGATAAAAATTTTCCGATTTTTTATATATTGAAAAATTTACCGCCTAAGATTAATAATATTTAAGGATAAAATAACAAAAAGAAATTTATTTGGATCAACAGGGTAGATTCAATTAGATTATTGCACATGTTTATTGGACCAATTTCAGATCATTTGTAAAATCGTCCAAAAATATGACACAACTTTTATTTAATCCCCGATGACCAAATTATGAGTTAATTTGATCAGATCAAATCAATTATTGAAACAAAATATGAATTACAATATTAAGAATACTTTATTCCAATAAATATAATATAATTAAAATAATTTAAATGGTTTTATCACTATGGTAAAATGGTATTATCATTATCGAGGTGGAAAAACCTAAATTAATAGTCTACCTCTTTAAATAAATCTCTACTTAAATAAAAAAAAGGTTTTCTTAGGCAACCAATAGCAATGGAAGATTAAGAATAAACCAAAGTAGCATAAATAGAAAATACATAATAATTCTCCACTTAAATAAAAATAGTTTCTTAGGCAACCAATAGGAATGGAAGATTTAAGAATAAACAAATGTAGCATAAATGAAAATTACATATTTCTATTATAAATGATGTACTTTAATTTATATAGTATTTTAAAGTATGAAACATTTGTGCGTGAAAGTATGTATATATATATTGAAAGAGTATGGTTGCAGAACACTTAATTTTTTATAAATGATGTATTTTAATTTATATTTTTTACTATATAATTTTTTTACAATACATATTTCACGAAAATAAATATGAATTGGGTAATTCTACAAAAATAATCTGTAAATAAAGTTATTTATTAATTAGTTGTTTTTTTTTTCGTTTTCTCTTATATTAAAGTTTTTTTATTACAATGTTTTATTTATCCTTTGTATCTTTAAATAAATCTATCATGACTTTGCATGCTACTATAATTGTTGTTATGTTAGAGAATTATTGGCAATGAAAATTCATGTCAACTTTAAATACAACTAAGAAATGGGATTATAATAAATTTTATGATCCAACATATTGAGAAATATTATCGTTCTCTTATCCACGTTGAGTATAATTAATATTGCAGTTATTAATATTATAGAAGATCAACTTACATTGTATGAAAATTATGTGACTGAAAAATCATGAGATATTGGCATATATAAGACTTAATGTGTTTGCAGTGAGTAAATGAATATTTTGGTATTGATAATATTACATTTCAAGTAGTTAGTAATAATACTGAAATTTATAAAATATTAAAGATACCCTCGAAGATTTCATTTTGAATTATTTATAAAGATTAGAATTTATATATAATGTCAATTGTTTTATGTCTTATTTGTGTCTTTTTTTTATGGGCTTTTATACTACCACAAAAATTTAGCTCCAAGTCATTCCGTTTATCGAATACGCTCATGTATAATTGTCTAACCTTTGGTCCGCCTAATAAAGAATGAACATAATTAGTTGTAAGGGTAATGAAAAATAAATAAATCAAATAATTCATATTTAAAATCATAATAATATATGTGGTATTAAGAATAAGATGATTTATTAGTTAAAATATATAATTATACACACGTTGGAATTACTTAATGTGGTTAATTAATTGGCTTGCATACAAATTAATCTATAAAGCACGTTAGTTGTTAAATTATTATATATAATTGGATTAAATTAATAATTATCAATCCTAATTAATAAAGCAATAGGAAATCCCGTATATATATATTAATTGCCGTGCATACTAAGTAATATATATATAGTTATTAAATAATGGTGATGGATTAAAATAATATTTGTCAATCCAAATTAATATAGGAACAGGAAACAGGCATATATATTACAACTCTTTGTCAATCCAAATTAATATAGGAACAGGAAACAGGCATATATATTACAACTCTTTCCTACTCTGCATAGGCATAATTATTTCTGCTGCATACAAACAATATATGCAAATTATATATATTATGCATATAGGAAATAGGAATAGGCATAATTTCTCGCTCGCTCTCCGTATACAAATATATATACCCACACCCTTGCGAGACGATCATCATATCACACATATTCTAAAGTAGTACATAATTTGCCAATATACAGAAACACAGAAATGGGTAGTATTCTGAAGGCCAAGTCTTGTGTCTTGTTGGTTTTGTGTCTGTTGCTGATTCCTCATGTCCTGTGTTCAAACTTGAAGGAGGAGAGTCGGACAACATACATCGTGAGGGTCCAACCAGGAATGAAGCCATCGGGTTTTGCAGGCGCACGAGACTGGTACAGAGCCAGCCTCAAAGGAAATTACAAGCATGACGAGGAGAGGTTTGTTCACATTTATGACAAAGCGTTCCACGGCTTCTCAGCTCGACTGACGAGGCAAGAAGCTGCACAGCTTTCAGGCCAGCCGGGGATCATATCCATTACGCCAGACCGCCTTCACCAACTCCACACGACTCGCTCTCCTACTTTCCTCGGCATTCAGTCGGAGTCCTCTGCCAGTGACAGTAACGGGCAGCTGTCGGAGTCCGAGTTGGGGTCGAACGTGATCATCGGCATATTCGACAGCGGCATCTGGCCCGAACACCGAAGCTTCCACGACCAAGATCTCGACCCCATCTCTCCCGACATCTGGAGAGGGGAGTGCGAGGAAGGCGAGAACTTCACGAGAGCCAACTGCAACAACAAAATCATTGGGGCCAGGTTCTTCTCCAAGGGTTATGAAGCAAATGAAAACGGCCAACTCGAGGAATTCAAGTCCCCACGAGACTCCATTGGACACGGCACCCACACCGCATCCATTGCCGCCGGCAGAGCCGTCCCCAACGCCACCTTTTTCGGCCACGCCACCGGCGTTGCTTCCGGGGTCGCCCCGAGGGCACGCATCGCCGTCTACAAAGTCTGCTGGGAAAACGGGTGCATGGCTTCCGACATCCTTGCCGCCTTCGACAAGGCCATCTCAGACGGAGTCCACATAATCTCCTTATCCCTCGACTCTGGGCA